AACCCGGGCCGCACGCATGCCAGGCGAGCGCGCTACCGCTTGAGCCACATCCCCAGCCCTCATCTGATCTTAATATAGACACTCCTGCCCCATTTTGGCTACTTTTTTGAAGGTCTATCTTTTCCTGTCTTTTTGCTTGCAATCTACTTGTGTCTCTGAGTCCAGAGCAGATCTCTCGTACACAGTGCCTTGCGATCCCTTCCTCATCATCCGGTCAATCTCTCCTTTTTAAATGGAGAATCAAATCCATTTTCATTGTTCTCTCTCTGTCTCATGCCATTTGGTTCTTCGAGCTCTCCCTTCCTTTTTGTCTTTTTTGTCAAATAGATATTTCTAGTCTCCCATTTGAATTCCCTTGTTATTTCTTTTAGAACATATTCTAAATTATTTCCTAGTGGTTTCCCTGAGGTTTGAAATTAGCACCTCAGTTTACAACCACCTACTTTGGGTTCCCACGGTCTCAGTGGTGTACCCGTCTGTTCTCCTACAGAGCTGTGTCACCGCAGCCATTTCAGCTGGAAAGAGCTCCTCCTCAGTGTTTCTTGTAAGGCCGCAGGTCTGATAGGGATGAACGCTCTTGTTTTTTGCCTATGTGAGGATGTCCTAATTTGCCCTGGGTTATTTTTCTAAGGGACGTTTGGCTGGATGTGTAGTTCACGGTGGACAGGATTTGGATAAGTTTTCTAGGGCTGGACAATCCAGGGATTGGTGGTTAAACAATAGAAATGTATTTTCCGGTGTTCAGGAGCCTAGAAGTCCAGGATCAAGGCCATGGCAGACTTGGTTTCTTCTGAGGCTTCTCCCTTTGCTGCACAGATGCCACCTTCCTCCTGTGACCTTGCTTGGTGACCTTGCTTGGCCTTTCCTCTCTGCATGCACACCCCTGGTATCTGTCCTTATTTTTTAAAGAAACATCTGTCCTACTGACTCAGAGCCCACTCGTATGACCTCACTAACTCTCTAAAGGTATCTTTAGAGGTCTTCTCTACAGATTCAGAGGTAATCTGGGATTAGGACTTTGTTGTGGTTTGGACCTGGAACGTTCCCCCAAAGGCTGATGCATTGATGGCCTGTTGCCTGATGCAGCAATATTCAGAGATTCAGAGGTGGGAAGTGACTGACTCACAGGGGAACTTATCTCGTTAATGGATTAGTCCACAGCTGGGTGGAATCTCTCGGGAGGTGGCGGGAACTGTCCAAGGTTAGACCTAGGTGAAGGGAGTGGGTTCTTGGGAGCATACCTTGGGGTCTGTATCTTGTCCTCAGCCCCTTTCTCTCTGCTTTCCAGCTGCCACAGAGTGGGCAGCTTTCCTCCATCAAACCCTTCTGCAATAATGCACAAGACCAAGGAAGCCAGCTAGTCATGAAATGAAACCTCTGAAACTCTGAGCCCCAATAAATCTTTCCAATAAATTGGTATTTCTACCTCTTTAAGGCAATCTAAGCTTTTTAAAAGAAACTTGCATCTCAAAATTCTTATAGTTCTTCACCCATGATTTAGCTTCCAAGTCTCTTCCATATCTTTAGGTATACGACACAGAAGCACCCCCCTTCTCGGTACCAAAATCTGTATTGATGGTTAAATCTGTCCTAAGAAAGCACCCCCATGGGTGGCTTAAGCAAAGGAAGCTTGTTCTCTCACGTTTCCGGAGCTTGGAATTTCAGGATCAAGGTGGTGGGGAGGTTGGCTTCTCTCCTTGGTGCGCAGACGGCTGACTTCTCACTGGGTCCCCACATGGCCTTTTCCAGGTGCAAGCACCTCTCCACAGTGTTCCCGTCTTCTTATTACAGCACTGGCCATGTTGAATGGAAGATTCTTCACATTGCTTCACTTAATTACATCTCACGAAGTATGTTGGGGGCTGGGACTCCATCCAAGAGATGAATTGTGGGTGGTCATAATTCAGCCCATAACAGAATTTTTTTCTACTCCTTTAATATATCCTCTAAGTGCCCTTTGACCTCCATGAGTTCCTGTAGGAATCCTCTGTTAACCCTACTGGGGATTCCATGTACATGATGAATTGCTTCCTTCTCTTTGCTTTCGAACTTTTCTTTCTCTTTCAAGCAAGTTGTTTATGAGGCGTCCATGTGTGGGATATTTTACGATGTATCCTACTTGGAGTTTATTGAGATACGTGGATCTGTAGATTAATAGTTACCAACAAATGGAGGAGTTGCCCAGTCATTATTTCTTCAATTATTCTCTCTTCCGCTGAAGAAAGAATTTCTTCCTTCTTTTCTCTCAGGGACTCCTTTCGTGTGTATTTTTAGCATATTCTTCAGGCTGTCTCTCATGTTTCTGAGGTTCTTCCATTTTTATTTATTATTTTCTCTCTTTTCTTTAGACTAGTTACCCTCAATTGATGGGTTACTCTATCTTTGAGTTCAGTAATTCTGTCTTCTGTCACAAATTCTGATGTTAAGTTCTTACAGTGAATTTTTCATTTCAGTCATTATACTTTTGACTTTAGAAATTCTATCTTGTTCTTTTTATAATTTCTTTTTGTTGGTATTTGCACCTATTTGACTCAGTATTAGGGAATAATTAGCCCTTTCGTAAATGCTTTCTGGTCTTCCCTAACACAATTTAAAAGCAAGACCTGAAAGGACCAACTTTTTCCTAGTTTCTGCGTACCCCAAAATACAAAAATACCCAGTATCCCACACGATAACATCTACCTGTGTCAGGCATTTAGTTTAAAAAAATGGTCAAGCTTACAAAGAAACACAAAGTTAGGCTCATCATGAAGAGAAAAATTAACCAGTTAAAATGGATCCAGAACTGATGTGGATGAAAACTATAATATGCAAGATGAAAAATACATTGGATATAACTAAGGGAAAATTAAACATTTCAGAAGATAGCAATAATTGTCCAAAATTAAACAAATAAAAATGACTTAAAAAACTTGATTATCTTCAAGTACAGTAATTCTGTTTACTGTAACAAACTCATGTGGAGTTCTGACAGTGAACCATAGTTCAACTTCAAACAGCTAATAATATGTGGAGTTTGAGTCCCAGAAGCACAGGAGTGGGGAGGAATGGAAAAAAAATTTTGAAGAAAAAAAATGGCCAAAATATTGCCAAATTTGATGTAAAATTCAAACTCAGATCCAAGAAATCCAGTACAGCCCAAGTACAAGAAATGTTAAGAAGTATCACAAAGGTTCATAATAGTCAAATTACCGCACAACAGCACCTCATGCACATAATGTGGGACACACCTTACGTAGAGGTGAACAGAATGAAGGGAGGTCTCATGACCAACCTGGAAGAATATTAAAGAATATTTTAAATACTGAAAGCCAATTCACTTTTAATTCTGCACTCAGTGCAGATAACTTTCAAAAATGCAGATGAAAGAAAACACTTCCAGAGAAAATTATTTTTCATTTCCTTTGGATATACATCCAGGCATGGAATTGCTGGATACTGTGATAGTTCTATTTTTTATTTTTGCGAGAACTTCATCGTGTTTTCCATAAAGGTTGTACTAGTTCACATTTCCACCGACAGTGTACAAAGGTGCTCTCATCTTCACTTCCTCATTAGCTCTTGTTATCTTTAATTTCTTTATAACAGCCATTCTTACTGGGGTACAGTGATACAGTTGACTGCAATTTTGATTTGAACATTTTTTTCTTTTATTTATTTATTTTTATTTGAACATAATTATATTTCCTTTGGCCTTTGGTATTTCTTCTTTGGAGGCATGTCTATTTAGGTCTATTGCCTATTTTTAATTGGCATACTTATTTATTCTTTTGCTATTGGGTTTTGGAGTTCTTATACATTCTGGATATCAACTTCTTGTCAGATGCTTAATTTGCAAATATCGTCTCCCATTCTATTGGTTGTCTCTTTGCCTTGTCTATGGTTTCCTTTGCTATGCAGAAGCTTTTTAGTTTGATGTAATCTCATTCGTCTATTTTTTATTTTGTTTCCTGTGCATTAGGGGTCTTATCCATAAAATCCTTGCCCGTTGCAGTGTCATAAAGAATTTCCTCTATCTTTTCTTCTAGTAAGTTTCAAATTTTCAGGTCTAATGTTGAAGTTTTTATTCCACTGTAGTTGCTTTTTGTAACTGGTGAGAGACAGGGGTCTAGGTTCATTCTTCTTTATGTGGATGTCCAATTTTCTCAGCATCACTTGTTGATGACTCTTTATTTTCCAGTGTGTGTTCTTATCACCTTTGTTGAAGATCAGCTTGCTGTAGATACGTGTGTTTGCTTCTGGGCTCTCCGTTCTGTTCCATTGGCCTCTGGATCTGTATTCATGCCAATACCACGCTGGTTTTTTAAAACATATTTTTTTACAATACCTTTATTTTATGTATTTATTTTAAGGTGGTGCTGAGGATCAAACCCAGCGCCTCACACATGCCAGGCAAGTGCTGTACCATGAGCCACCACCCCAGCCCCTATCGTACTGTTATGATCACTAAATTTTTCTAGTGTGTTTCAACACAGTCTTAATCAAAATCCTAGCAGGTTTTAATTTTTTTCTTCTGTTGAAATTGACAAGGTGACCCTAAAATTCACAGGGAAATGTAAAAGATCCAGAACTTTCAAAATACCTAAATAATTTTGAAGAATTCACCATAGGGCTGGGGTTGTAACACAGTGGTAGAGTGCTTGCCTGGCATGTGTGAGGCCCTGGGTTCGATACTCAGCACCACCTAAAAATAAATAAAATAAAGGTCCATCAACAACTAAAATTAAAAATTAAAAAGAAAAGAATTAACCCTATATAGGTATATGTATATGATATATGTATATATATGTAAAATCCAAGTATACACATATTTGGAGTCTCTGTTCTTTTACTTGGATAGACATACTTTCAAGAAGTGACAAAAATCATCAACAAATGACACTGGAACTTAAAATATGAAAAAAAACCTCTTTTAATCTACTCTTTGTAACATATATAAAATTTAATTCAAAAAGATTGTAGAACTAAATGTAAACCTATCAAGTGTGTAGAAGTAAACATAGGCAAATATCTTTCAAATAATTCAGTGAAATTCAAGTCAAATAATTCTTCCATACAACACAAAAGTAAACCCACAAAAGGCAAAATGTTTGAATCTAAAATGTCTTGCTTTTTGAAATGCACTGTTAAGAGGAGTAAAAAAACAAAGCACAACTCTGGGGAAATATTTGCAAATCAAATACCTGTTGAAGGACTTTTATCCAGATACCTAAAGAAAAAACACAAATTTAAAAGAAAGGCAAGGTATTCGAAAAGATAGTCCAATAAAGAAGATAGAAATATAGCAGATAAGCACCTGCATGTATACTTAATAATATTAATATTAGGGAAATTCAAAGAAAATAACCATGAGATACTGAAAGTATTAAAAACTGACCATTTCAATTGTTGGAAGGATCCGAATGAGTTAGAACTCACACACACTGCTTGGAAAACTCATCCAACTCCTTTGGCAAACAGCTTAGCAGTTTCTTCAAAAGTTAAATGCAAGGCTGAGGATATACCTCAGTTGGTAGAGTGCTTGTCTTGCATACACAGGTCCTCAGTTCAATCCCCAGCACCACCAAAAAAAAAAGTTAAATGCACACTGATCTTATGCTCCAGCTACCACACTTGGAGAGAAATCAAGGTGTATGTCCATATATGCTACGAATGACAAAGAACACATTGTATGTTTCCGTTTATATAAGCTGCTGGAGAGTGCCAAGAGTGCCAGGTATTCTGGGGGGACAGGAAGCAGATTGGTGCTGGCCTAGGGAAGAAAGGGAGGAGAGTTTGGGGGTTGGTGGAGACGGTCATAGTGACGGTTTTGCAGGTGCACACACAGATCCAAACTTACTGAATTGCACACTTTAAATTATGGTTTATATGACCAGTACACCTCAGTAACATTTTTAAAAAATATATCCAATTATATATTTCAGGGCATGCGGCTTACTTAGGGGCAGTGCCTTGGGTTGGACTAGTGCTCCTATCCCAGCTCCCTGCAGACTTTCTGAATGTGGGGCACACCAGAAGTAACTTGGGGTTTTCAATTTCTTAGGGATGCTGGCTGGTCATGGGTGAAACACTCCATTGCTTATTAGCCATTAATACAGGAAATAACATTAAAACGCGGTGAAATTAAGAGGGAGGGTTGTGCTCCTGTGTGTGGCTTCACACTCTCACCTTGAGCGTCCTGCTTTTCCTTTAGGGATGGAGCTTTTTCAGTCGGTTCTGTGTGGCCCTCTGATCTTACTCCTGCCAGGAGAAAGGAAATGCCCCGCCTATTTAAAGTAAGTGCGCGTGCTGCCCGGGCCCCTGGTTGGTTTCTGTCTGGTTTCTGCTGTCTGGCATGTGCACAGGGGTCCAGGCTCCGGGGGCTGCTGAGGTTTCAGAAGTGCCCAGATGTCATTTTCCCCACCCCCATTTGCAACAGTAGCTCTCTCCTCAGTCACATGGATTATCAGCAGTTTTTGGTACAGGTCATGCTCTTTCATTCTACAAGTTGATCTCGGATTTAAAAAAGCTAATAGACCTGAGACTGTCCCCTCTTTCCATTACCAGGCAGCGGTCGAGGACAGCTGTCAGAATCCTAGCTGAAAGCTGGGTGAGCTGACAGGGTGGGATGGGGGCAGGGGGAGGGGTAGTGAAAGAAGAGGGGAAAACAGTAAGAGAGAAAGAGAGAGGAAAATTACAAAACAGGGCTGGGGATGTGGCTCAGGGGTGGAGTGCCCCTGAGTTCAGTCCCTGGAACCACCTCCCTTCCCTGCCCCCCCCCAAAAGAAAGAAGATTCCAAGGATCAGACTTGGACGTTGTAGACTCCCGGGCATGCCTTCCGGACCTGAGGGCACTTGACAAAGCAAGTTTCCTCTGGGCCATTTTCTCGCGAGTCGTTAGTTCATATTTCAAATCCAAATCAAGACTACCACGTGGAAAAAAATGGAGGCGATATGTGATTTTGAAATCTGAAAAAAAAAAGAGAGAAACAAAGTCCCACGGTTTAAAAATCCATGTGAAAAATGAAAATGATTCTCGAATGGGTACATAATGTGGCTTAAGGAAGGAACTAGGTCCCCTCGTTTGAAATGTGGCCAGAATCAATCTAGGAAACTAGTATCTGACAGCTCCAGACAGAAGTGTTCCACATCCCTCAGGTCCAAGATAGACATCCTTAGCCTGTACCCACCCTCCAAGAGACCCACAGAGACCTGGCCGTTTGGAACTCATTTACAGAGTGGAGTGGGAGAGTCTGTCATTTATTATGTCATTGCTACTTAGTGGGTATATAGTAAGAAAGTCTTAGACATAATCCTAGAGTTCTGTTAGCCTGAGTACATATTTTAAATTTGAGTTTGATCTGCCTTTGATGAGTAATGATGTGAGCGGTAGGTGTGGAGCAGGCAGACAGCACAGGCATCTTTAAACATGTTTAATTTAACAATTAGAAAACCGTGAGCATTGGATTCTATTGCAATTGTATTTTGACAGCCAATTGCAAGGTGCATTGCCAATTCAGAGATGCCCAAAGGGGCAACGCTGTGTCTCAGAATTGGTAAAATATTAAGGCTCAGTCATTGCTCAGCCTGGGTTCTCCTACTTTGTGCCCTTTTTGCTCCCAGTACAATGGAGAGAATAGCTGAGCCTTCCTGGTGAGGTTTCTGGGAGGATTAAATGAACTAATAGCTGTCCATTCCCTCCCCGAGCAGGGGCTGCCCTCAGCTAAAATGCTCACTCTTTTCATTCGATGGAGTCCAGTGTGTTAGTCAGTCATAGTCTCGGGTGTTTTTATGAAGATTAGAAGTGACTCACATTTCACAGTGTCTGTCCCTTGCTACCCACCTGGGTGCTGGTGCCCACACCACTTGGTCCCCTAGCCGGGCTGAGGGTGATCCTACTAGAGGTGTCGTTTGCCAATGGTGAGCTTAACATGAAGGAGTGCCTGCTTTCTTATAACGTAGATATTCCTTACATCGTTCTAGGTCACAGCCTCTCAGCTCTCAGCACCTAGTAATAAATATTCAATCCCAATATTAGCAGATAGCGGGAGTGAGAAGAGTGCGTGGGTGGAGGTGCTGAGTGACTTGCACAGGACATTGAAAAAGAACCATTTCAGAGACCGCTCAGGCTATGTTCTCAAAGAGGCTTATGACAGCAGTCTACCCCTGATCAAAACCACCCAGGCAGCTGCAATCATAGGTATGGATCTACACTTACCCCACTGGGGTCACGTCTCCTCACTGCAATCCCGAAAGCAAACTCTGAGTTACCTCTCGCTTCCCACCTCAGTTGGCAACAAAACCTGGTCTGCATTGGCAGAAGGCTGTCTGTGGTCTCCTCCTCCCCTAACTATGCTTATTCACAGGGGTCTCTGCAGAAAGATCAGTATGTTTGATGATAAGGTGGTGCCTGGGATCATGTGGTGTTTGAAAATATACAGTAACACCTTTCTCAAGTCTGATAAATTCTGAGTTCCAACCCACGTCTGGCCCCAAGGGTATCACCCAACCTGTGGCTCTGCACAATAATTGTGAACCACCTACCTTGAGGGAAGGAACCGTCTTCTAGTTCTGTTCTCCCCATGCCCAGTGAATAAATGAAAAACATCCAGGCCCAGGGACTCAGGCCTGGAATCCTAGCCACTGAGGCAGTTGAGGCAAGAGGATATGGCAAGTTTGAGGCCAGCCTCAGCAAATTTAGTGAGACCCTGTCTCAAAATAAAAAATTAAAACTACAAATGTAGCTTAGTCTTAGAGCACCCCTGAGGTCGATCCCCAGTATGCCTACCCCCCACCCCAAAAAGAAAGAAATGGATGAATCAATGAGGAGTAACTCGACTAAGATCTATATCCAAGCTTTTCCTATTAAGCAAGAAAACTTGCATTTCCTCAGTGCCATTCCTCCTGATGCAGATGGCGTGGCAGTGAGGGACTCTCAGCCACTTGTCACATGTGCCACAGGGAGCAAGTGGCTCAACTCCTTTGAGCACTACTGTGCACGCGTGTGGGCTGCAGTCAGTGCTGGTTTTTCATGGTCATGTGGAGGAACAGATGAGGGCGTGTGTGTAAAGCCCTGTGCTCGGCATTCCAGGCCTTCACTCGGTCCTTGGAATCTCAGCGCTTTGAGTTTAAATTCTCCCGATATTTCACGTGATTCTCAAAGCTATGAGTGTTCAGGCCAAGATCACTGACAAATTAGATCATAAACCTTTTTCATTTTCTGAAATAAATATTTACGTTCAAATTGAGAGCATATCTCTACTTGACTCTTATGCTTTCTTCAAGTATTCATGAGGATTACTTTGCAATGATCATTGTATTTAAAAAAGTCATGTTTTAACATGCTTACTTTTGTAATGTGGAAGAAAAAATAATACTGTCAATCACTTTTCCTGTTATTTCTTTTCATTTTATATATGCTAAGTCTGCCTCTGGTTTTCAATGAAATTATTTGATTTGCTTTGAATGTTAAAAATATTAACCAATTTGTCCAATTTATTAGCTTTATTTAGTGTTTTCCGAAAAGAAAGCGTGGTGTTTTTATTTATGTGTCATGTGTAGATCCCAAAAGAATCGCTCTGGGCAATGAAGAAGGGCTATTTGTCGTGCACATTACTATAGATGGTAAGGAGCTTTACTCATCTGGGATCATTTTTAAACTCTTAGGATTATAGTATCAGATTTGTCCCCCCCCCTTTTTGTTCTATGAATAAAAACCTTCCCCATCTGGTGTGAAGTGTTTCCAAGTCAAATGACTTTTCTAATTTCCAGGGCCCATAATCCCCTATTTTCTCGGGTGGTTTTATCTGTAAGTCTGCTCTAACAACTCAGAGTGTTGATCTCCTCCTTCCTCCCCCGCTCTTAGAACGTATGCAGGAGGAGCCAGTTTAGTGCAGTCCTCCTGAGGTCTCCCTCCTAGCGTGGGGTTAGATGAAGGAGAACCCCGTGTTGGAGGGACACCAGCTGTGCCTTCACTGAAAGTCCCCTGTGGCCTCTGGGTGCCTGGGCTCTGGTGAGGAGGTCCACCTGCGGTCCACCCAGGTGTCCAGCGGGGTCTCCAGTCTCTTCTGTTCTCTGCTGCACCCCAAACACTGGGAATAGTGCCTGGCCTGCAGCAGGCACTCAACACTTACTTGTGAAACACAGGAATCCACTCAGTGTCAGCACCGCTCCTCCTGAAGGAAGTGGAGTGCTCTGTTTGGCAGCTCTGCGAGGTCTCTCCTCCAGGGCTGAGTTCTGTGCTTCATTTTGATAATGTATCTGGGATGGCTGAGATAGTCATAGACTTTAATCTCCTTTTTTTTTCTTTTTTTTACCTGTACGATTTGTAGGTGATACTCCTTTCTTCTTGTCTATTTTAATCCTCCCCCAACCGACCCGTGAATGTGTCTGTTATTGTTTTAGAACCTGACTTTCATCCACTGGGAAAGAATTAAAAAATCAGAAAACTTCATGTATTTGCATCAGTATCGATTCTCTTGATATGATTCCCCAAACACTTGAGGCTCGCCTTTCCCCGTCCCCTCCCTCTTTCTCCTCCTCTCCCCGACCCCCTGTCTCTTCTTCGTCTGTCCCAGTTTAGGTATTTTGTTGATCCTTTGGGAGTCAGCAGTGATTCCTTTGGGATCAGAGCCTGACTTCAGTAACTGGGAATGTACTGATGAGCTGACCCAGCTAACCTGAAAGGGACGCGCCATTTTTATTTGTCGACATGACTCATGTTGGTGACATTAGGATGATCTATCAGAGATTTTTGATGGGCCACTTTGTTAAATGCTTTTTGGGTGAAATTGGGAGAAGGGTCAGAATAAAGCAATTGAAATCGCTCTGAACTTGACCGTGGACTTGACAGTGACTTCCCATCATGTCTGTCTGTGTAGAGATCCTCCGGGTTGGTGACTTGAAGAGGGTCCATCAGATCGAGCTCATCCCACAGGGCCAGATTGTGGCCGTGATCTCCGGACGCAGTCACCACGTGCAGCTGTTTCCCATGTTGGCTCTGGACGGACGGAAGACGAACGTCCACAAGCTGGTGGAGACCAGAGGGTGCCAGGCCATGGCCTCTGGAACAGTGTGCCAGGGGGCCCGCACGTGCCTCTGCGTCGCCAGGAAAAGCCAGGTCCTCTGCTTTGAGCTGTTTCCGGGCAAGAAGATCTCTCACAGAAAGTTTAAAGAAGTCCAAGTCCCAACCAGTGTCCAGTGGATGGCCATCTTGGGTGAACAGCTCTGTGTGGGATTCCAGTCGGGCTTCCTGAGATACCCCTTGAGGAGAGAGGGGACCCCACACAGGATGCTGCATGCACACGACCCCACCCTGGCGTTTATCGCCCGTCACCCGGAGGATGCCCTGTGTGCAGTGGAGATCTCCAGCATCGAGTTCCTGCTGTGCTTTAAGAGCATTGGAGTGTACATCGACAGCAGGGGCCTCCGGTCCAGGCCCGTGGAGCTGATGTGGCCCGCAACTCCCAGCTATTGTCGTAAGGCTACTTTGCAGCTCTCTCTCATGTTTTAAGATTGATTTACTTTACTTTACCTTTTTTTTTTTTTTTTAAATTTGTATCAGGGATTGAACCCAGGGCCTTTAACCATTGAGCCACATCCCCAGCCCTTTTTAAATATTTTATTGAGAGACAGGGTCTCACTGAGTTGCTGGGGGCCTCACTAAGTTGCTGAGGCTGGCTTTGAGCTTGTGATCCTCCTGCCTCGGCCTCCCTGAGCCACTGAGATTGTAGACATGCGCCACTGTGCCTGGCCCTCATATTGTTAGTGACAGATTTTATTTTTAAAAACAACAACACTGAAGGTTTTTTCCTAATTGGTTGATGTCTTTTTCAGTAGAATCACTTTAACCATGTTACATCTAAGTCACACATTTGAAATAAACTTAGCATTTCATCTTTATTACAAAGCACAGTTTATCTTGAGTATTGCCTTAATCCAAGCGGTTGCTTTTACTAATGCTCCCAAATTAGTATTTTTTGTGGAATGTAAGCATTACTTAATTGTAGAATATAGTTATTAAATCTTTTTTTTCTTTTTAGGTTTAGCTTATGTATAGTATATACATGATTGTTACTAAATAATTTTAATCTATTTCACATTTCTTATTGATACAGCCAATATCTAAAAAAATAAATGTGGCCTTTCATTCACTTAGCAAATAGCAATTGAGCAAACTTACCATGCTGAGGGCGGAGGGTACCATCCATGTTAAGCAGGTCACAAGATGCACATAGTATCTTACAGTCAAAGAGGAGGAGAGCCACAATTAAGCAACTATTGCATATGAGAAGTAGAGCACCCCATGGAAACACCGGGAAGAGTACATAATCCAAACTGGTAGAACATGGAGACCTACAAAATGGACTTCACTTTTCCTTTTAGCACTGTAAAAATGTCTTTTCTACTTGGCTGCTTTTAAGATTTTCTCATTATCTTTGGTTTTCAGCAACTTGACAATGAAGTGCTCAGCGGTGGTCTTTCTTTCCATTCATCCTGCTTGGGGCTCGGTGACCTCTTTAGATCCCAGGGTTGGATCCGTGGTTGATTTTACTGGGGCCGATTGGATTGCGGAGCTTCATCTTACTGGGATGTGCAGGCCAAGGGCCAGGAGGCTCAGGGATGATCCTAAGATCTCTGGCTTGAGCGGAGGAGTCCCCGATGCTGACTGAGAGAGTGGGGCCCAAGGAGGAGCGGGTTGTGGGGGAGGGGCGGAAGGGACCTGGCTATTTTTTTCCTTTCTTGCTGTTGTTGAAATGTCTTAAATCAAGTCCCTGACACCACGATGCGCACCCATCTCTACGTACTTTCCATGCATCTCTAAAAATAGGCATTTTCTCGCAGACCCGCACTGCTGTGATCACTCCTGAAGAAGTTGATGACTCTGGTTACCTTATTATGAGGTAGCCCCATTGAACCCCACGACGTCTCCTTTCAAAATGTGTTTGTCGGAATCAGAATCCCAGCAGGATCCACACTGCACCCAGAGGTTTTTCTCTGGAATGTCTTCTGATCCCGAGTGGTCTTCCCCGCCACTGACTTCTTGTCCTAAAGAATGTTCCACAAAGGGATCCGGCTTTCCATTTCTTCATGGCGCTTTTTAACTGTCTGCGCCCTGAATTTCTCATAAGTGAAAACTAGCTCTAGAGGCTTCTAGTAAGAAGGCATCATGAACGACCCTGTGTGTGCCGAATCCCACCCAGGGGACACTCAGCCTCTGTCCCTTCCACTCGTCATGGTACAGTTGAGGGGGGGTTTGAGGTGTTGTCAGCCCCCTCTTGCCTGGTGCAGAGAAGACAGAGCGAGGAGAAAGAGGACCCAGGTCAGCAGGAGATGCCCGGGAAGGAAGCTGGGGAGGAGGGTTTGGGAAGCAGAAGGGAAACCTGGAGAAGAGCAGCATCCAGCCCAGGAGGGGTCAGTCAGGTGAGCTGAGCAGGAAGGCCCGGTGGGGACGATCCCGGGATCTTCTGGCTGACACGTGCAAGTGAGCAGTTTTAATGGAGAGGTGAAGGTGCAGGTCACTTTGCCAAGGACTGAAGTATCCACAGGGGTGAAAGGGGGACATGGAAAGCTAGTGGCCCTTTCAGGGACTGGACTGGAAGAAAAGAGAAAGAGACCGGAAGAGGGATGTGAACGGAAGGTATCATTTTGGTTGTTTTAGTGGGTAGACATCTTCCTGTTCAGAGGCTGAATCTCTAGGAACCATAAGAGGTTATCATTAAACTAGAAAGTCTCAAGAGTGTTACTGGCTGGAAGAGTTCACTTCTTTGCTCAGGAATTTCACCCTCCGCCTGAGCTTCCCTAACCATACCCTGTGCTCTTTTGCCGTGAGTTGAACAGGGGTAGGAGATGCAGAGTTTGAAAGGTTGAAATGAATTCACACAGCTGCAGCGACAGAGGTGTTGGACAGCTTTCTGTGGGGGTTTTTATTATAAATATTGAAAGTCACTCTATAATCTGACTCATGTGCATTGCTTATTTAATATGCCTTAATTAAACCATGTATATTTCTAAAATATGTTTTGAGGAAGTTACTATATGATAATAGGATATTTAAATGAGAATCTCCTGGTTTTCTAACCTAAACTTAAAAAAAAATAATAATTTCAGCTTAGTGGATGAAAATCGATTATGAATACTATAGGATGCCATTTAAATAACATTTTTGAAGTGACAAAATGTTAGAAATGAAGGGGGAAGGAGGGGCCATGGGTGTGGTCATAAAAGGGCACCGTGGGGGTCCTGTGCTATGGAGTCCCATGGTAATGGGAGTTCTGGGTGAGTGGTCCTGAGGTGTGGGAGCTGTGTGTCATCCTGACCCTGGCGGTGGATACATCCTCCTACACAGGTGATGACATAGTATGCAAGTAACACCTGTACCCACACGTGCCCTGCTCCAAATGCAAGCAAATCTGGGGAAAATCTGCTAAAGATGGGTACCTTTAATATCAATATTTTTGCTTTGCAAATTATCATTATGTGGGGGTAGCTGGGCAGAGGTACAAGGAATTATCTCTGTATTAGTTTTACAACTACATAGGAGTCTATTTCCATAAAAATTAAACACAGAGCCCACATCTGCTGTCCCCCCCCCCCCAGGTTACAGTGCCCCATATCTCTCAGTCTACAGTGAAAACGCAGTGGACGTCTTTGATGTGAACTCCATGGAGTGGATCCAGACTGTCCCCGTCAGGAAGGTATGTGACATGAAGATGGTGTAACCATGAATTCAAGATGAAAAAGAAAAAGTCCACACAGGAGTATCCCATTGTGTGTGAATTATTGGAGCATTAAAACCCAAATACAACCAAACACCATTTCATTAGTTTTATGACTACTACTGGAGCTACTTGACATTTCTAGATGTATTATAACCATCCTGGTTTTTATACTACATCTGTTTAAATCCTGCAATATTGTAATGATTTTCCATTTGGTTTAAAATTATTTTCAATCATTACTAACTTTTGTTCGGCGTAATCTGAACTCCTGTGAAGGCAAATTATACAGAAAGGAAAAAAGAAAGACAAAATTGAAGTATGTAGCTAAAGTGTTTCAGATTTTCAACAAGGATTTTACAGATTCATAATAAAATAAATATTTTGTATCTCTACTACAAATAATTTAAATCCCAGATAAAAAAAATATTTGCTATTTTAGTAAGAGAAGAACATTGGAGATTTAAGAATAACTCCAGGCCTATGTAGAAAATACATAGCATGAACCATCAAAAAGGAGTTTATATGGGAGAAGTCACAGTTATCTGTGAGATTTTTGTCCTGCTTTAAGCAATAGCCGTCCTAAGGACTATCCTTCACATAACACCTTCAAGTATACTTTTCTGAAAGTCTATTCTGAATGTAAACTACTCACAATACTGTTTGAAAAATGAATTCACAAGGAAGATGATGAGTCTTTTCAGAAACTTTTTAATTACTAGTCACTTTTTAAAAGTGAATTGAGGGCTGGGGGTGTGGCTCAGTGGTAGAACACTTGCCTGTCATGCACCATGCATTTAGCTACATACTTCAATGTTTGATCCCTAACACTGCCCCAAACAAAACAAATCAAAATGAAAAAGTTCATTTAAAAATTAATGGATTTCTATTTAAGTCGATAATTTTAATTTTTCTTAAACTATGACATTCACATTTTGAAATTTCATCAATACAAGTTTGTCGTACCTAACACCATCCACTCTGCTGGATCGAATTTTTTTTTTTTTTTGAGATTACAGTATTTAGAGGGATGAGTCTAAATAAAAACATTTTAATAATTAATGCTTTCTCCACAAGCAAATGTTCTTATTATCATCTGTAAACTATATTCATTGAAATGGTAATCTTGTTTTTCATTATTTTAGGTTCGACCTTTAAATAATGAAGGATCCCTGAATATCTTACATTTGGAGACGATTAGATTGATATATTTCAAAAATAAGATGGCAAGTAAGAAATGGCTTTTCTTCTTAGTGGACTACGAAACTCTTTCTCCAGGGGGGTCACTCAAGGTCATGCAGCAAGTATATTGCGAGGCCAGAGGTCCACCTGGGGCATCTAGCTGGAGAGTCGGGTGCCCATGGAGTAGCTCGCACAGGTGCAGACCTAGGCACACGGCTCTGGTGGCCTGCAGTTGTCAGAGGCCCTGTTTCTTGGCCTCTGTAACCACTGATGACCATTTCTGATGCTGCCTGCGGGAACTCATTGGCTTCCCCAGAGGACGTGGGTCTGCAGCTGCACAAAGCCACAGCACAGACACCAGCCCGTCCACGAGGTCCCACCTACACTGTAGCAGACTTGAAGTGAGGGGAAAAATATGCAGCCACGAGACAGCCATTTCTCTCTCTCATTGAATGCATGGGAGGAAAGGCCCAGTGTAGCTGTGCATTAGGTGACAAAATAGCACCATCTAGATGGCTGAGACGACAGATCCAGGTGTGGGCAGGGTAGATTCCCTCTGAGGCTGGGAGGGAGAATCTGCCCCAGGCCTCTCTCTAGTTTCTGGAAGTTTCCGTCAGTCTGGCATTCCTTGGCTTGTTAGAAGTATTATCCACCTCTGCCTCCGTCTCACATGGAGCACTCCCCGTCTGCCTGTGTCCAAATGTCCCCTTTCCATAAGGACACCATGATGCTGGGTCAGGGCCCAGGCTAATGGTGTCATCAGTGGAGGCCACCATGGGTACTGCAGTTGAGACTTTGCCCACCTCGAATGAGATGCTTTCATTTCTTTTTGGGGATCCAAGACAGTTTTGAGGGTCTATGTTTCACAGTTTTGTTCACTTCTGGAAATTGAAATCTAGTATCTCAATATTAGAATGAGCCCCGATCTCCATGGCACCAGATAGGAGTCACTGGATCTTCCTGCGGTGAGAAGAGGAAATGAGTCCAGAGCCGCGATCTCTCTCCCTCCACCCTCCTTCCTCACCCTCTTTTCCCGCCATGGGGCTCAGAAATGTTTTGCTATGTTGCAACGATAGTACTTACTCTTATTTGTTGGAACACTTGCCCTTCATGCTTACAGTTTTAATTTTTGCCACTGTGATCAAAATATTTGACAAGAACAATGTAGGAGGGTGAAGTTTCCCAGGCGCCGTCCAACGGTGAGCTGATTCCATGGCTCTGAAATGTGAAACATAAACCCTCAGGTGAGGTAGAATATCCTGGCGGAACAGCGTGGGAGGAGGAAAGCTGCTCACCTCCTGGTGGCCAGGAAACAGGGAGAGAGCCACCAGGAGGAGCCAGGAACAAAACATAGAATCCCCAAGGCACTCCTGTAATTACTCCGTTCCTCCAGCCTACAGGTGACACCCAGTCACCCATTCAGATTATGAACTCCTCAAATGGATTAATCCACCGATTCACTCTCATAACCTAATCGTTTCACTTCCAGCATCAACACAGGAGCTTTGGGGGAGCGCTTCATATCCAAACCACAACACTTTGCAGCATAACTGAATATCTTCACATCCTTAAGCTCCAAAAATGTGATAGGAGAGCCGGGCTTGGTGGCACACACCGGCAATCCCAGTGGCTCGGGAGGCTGAGGCAGGAGGATCATGAGTTCAAAAACAGCCTCAGCAACAGTGAGGCACTAAGCAGCTCAGGGAGACCCTGTCTCTAAATAAAATACAAAATAGGGCTGGGGATGTGCCCCCGTGGTGGCGTGCCCCTGAGTTCAGTCCCTGGTACCCTGCCCTTCCCCACAGTGTGATTGGAGGAAAAAGTTAGCCCATGGGAGTGGAAAGATGCCAAAGCCGTTGCTTTCTCCTGGTGAAATGAGGTCACTTTATAGGAGATTGAAAGCTAAACCCTGGCATGTCCATGCTGTTACAATCTTAGTAAACTGGCTGTCATCTACTTGTAACGTCTGGAGACTGGAGCAATCGATATTGGTGCAGGTCCTTGACCACAGGACTCGGGGCGATGTGAGGCCTTTTCAGTCTCAAGAACTTCTTCCTTTTGTTTCCCAAATGTCCACACAGATGAAGACGAGCTGGTCTTCCCTGCAACTTCAGCAAATCCTCTGAGGCAGATGGTCCCACACGCCAACAGCAAGCGGCGTTACTCCTTCCGAGTCCCCAAAGGGAAAAAGACCCTCTCCAAGGGGCTGTGACCACCCTCAAGGGGGATGGGGGGGAGAGCGAGGGACCACTCACCCCTCTCGGAAAATGGAGCTGGGCCAGGGTCATCTGCTCCCTTGGTGGTGGTGAGTAGGAAAGCCAGGGGGCTGCGAGGGGGGTCATTTCTCTTTGAGCGTGGAATGATGGATAGTTCGTGTGTGAGCCTCTGCACAAGGCCACCGCAGAGCGTGTGTGCACCCCACGACGTGTCCCGTGAGCAATAAACAGGACATGCGTGCAGCTGGAGAGACTCCTTTCTGACTCGGTCTGCCTTCCTTAAAGTTGGCTGTGATTTCTGTAACCAGAGGGGCAGAAAATGAGGCCGATCTTCATTTGACCTACAAATAAAAACACAATTAAAAAACGAATTCAAAGAGTCACTATTCTATGAAAAATACCCAACAGGGCTGAATGTGTTTGCTGTCCATCCGAGATGCTGTCCATCTGTTGGAGACCGTGTGATTTCTATCCCAAAGCTTTCCAAACCCTGTGCGGGGGGACAGACTGTTTCTCTCCACTCGCCGAGTGTGTTCACTGGATGGGTTCTGTAAGCTGTGCACAAAAAAGTGGCTGCTACAGTTTTGTCTCTGCCTAACAAAGTTGATTGCAGTAGCGTGTGGTTTGCTGATTAATGCCTCAAGCAATAATTTTCAGTAAAGCGGTGATCTCCAAAGTGCAGCCAGAGGCCCTCTAGTTTCAAACATGATATCTCTAAACTATTCACCTGAGCTGGGTGTCCTCTCTCTCCCTTTGATACCCTTAAAGAGCCCAGGCCAGAGCCAGCAGCACTGCATAAGACCTGCCCTTCCTGAATTTTCTACTGCATACTTATTTTTTTTTTATTGGCTGTTCAAAACGTTACAATGCTCTTGACATATCCTTTTTACTGTTGAATAAGATTCTGTTGTTTGGAAACACAACTTTCTTTTCTTTTTACCTCTTGATGGACATCTGAGTTGTTTCCAGTTTGAGGATTTTTGCATAAAGATATGAACGTTTTTGTCACAAGTCATTTCCATTCTCTAGAATGTCAGGTCACACGTGAAGTACATGTTTGTTTAATCACATGGGAATTTCCAAATGACCACCAACTTATTATCCCCAGAAGTGTGTGATAGTTCCGATTAAATAGACATGCTTGCCAATATTTGGCATTTCCTGAAAATTTTCTCATGTGTAATGACAGGTATTTTAATGGCTGTGTAGTGAGATCTCAGCAAGGCTTTAATCCACATCACCAGAGAGCTGTGTAATGACGTTGAAATCTTTTCATGTGCTCTTTGGCCTTCTCCATATTCTTTTGTGAAATGTCTCTTCCAATCTTCTGCCCAGTTTGCTAAAATTGAGACTGTATTGATGACTCTGGGTTGACATCCATCTGTGAGAGACACAGAGACATCCCTTGAACATTATGGCCAGCTTCCCTGCATGTCCCCATGGTATCATTTTGCAAAACTGTAATGAAGTATCACACCCAGGACATTGACACTGATACAATCAACAACTTGCTATTCAGATTTCCTTTCTCAGTTGTACTGGTGTGTGTGTGTGTGTGTGCACTAAATTCCATACAACTTTCACCACCCACGTGCCTTCCTGTAGCCACTATCGAGACACTGAATAGCTCCATCAGCACAAGAATCCCCAGGTTGCTATTTTAATATCACACCCACGTCTCATACTTCCCTGGACCCACACCTCATCCCTAACAGGAAACTAATCATCTATCCTCCATGGCATTAGGCCAATAGATCAATTTGTGGTAAACTGACACATTAATATATTTTAAGTTCTCTTTTGCTACCTTTTATGTCCTGCACAGGGTTTACAGGTAAGCTAAGTGGAATGGTGCAGGGAAAACCGCATCTAGGATACCTTGTTCAGACCCAGGTTTAAATTGGATTGCCCATGGAGAATAATTTGTTTTGGATGTGAGTTTATCCCTTTAAATACTAAATAGCAACTGTTGGAGAAAACTTTTAAATTTTAAGGAAGTTCAATTTATCATTTTAAAACCAATTCTTCTTTTTGATGCTTCATCTAAGAAATCATTGCCTACCATAAGAGATTAATTCTAGATATTTTACAATTTTAGCATTTACACTTAGGTCTATGCTAAATTTTGAGTTATGTTTTGGCGGGTGAGAGGTGAGAGATGATATTCATTTTTTCTCAAAGGTCTGGTGGTTGGATTGTTTCCCTTCTGAATTGTTTGAAACTATTATTTGGCTCGTTTTTCTGTTCCACTTGCTAGTGCCTGCCCTCTAGATTAAGTCTTTAAATGGGCTGTGTAACTCATCCTTTTTCAGAGTTGTTTTGGCTCTTCTAGATCCTTTATGTTTCTCTGTAAGCTTTAGTATTCTCTATTCAATTCATACAAAAAAATAAACAACAACAACAAAAATTCCTGACAGGTATCACATGTAAGTTATCTATGGTAATCTGTAGATTACTTTGTATAGAATGGTACCAAGATTAAATTTTATGTATCTTGCCGTTAGGTTTTTCATTCCTCTCTTCAATCTTTTGTTGTTTCCTCTGTAGATATAAGGTATTATTCCTAAATATTTCATAATTCTTTTCACATTATTGTCAGTGGTATTGTGGCTTTTAGATTTTTATTTTTATATTGTTGCCAGTGTATAGCCATAAAACTTTATTTTTGTATAAATGAGCTTGATATCTTGATCTTTGTTAACTTTCACTTACCTGGTCTAGTACTTTTTTTCTAAATTCCTTAGATTTTTCTACTTACATAAGTACATTTTTTTCCAAATAAATCCATATTTACTTCTTCCTTTATAGTCTGTGTACTGTTCATTGTTTTGATCTGGCCTTGTTGGACTGGCTTGTGGAGCCAACGAAATCTTGAATGGGAGAAGCGAAGACTTGGTCCTGGATTATAGAAGAAGGAATCAAGGCACGATATTTAGTATTATATGATTGGTATCATATTCCCAGTAGTTTTTCATTGTCACATGGGGGAAATTTCTTCCTACCTTATTGGGAAGTTTTCTTGCCTATGGGTATTGGAGTTTTAAGATGTTTATTCGACATCTGTTGTGGTTTGAATAAGTGACACTCCCGGGAGACAGTGACATGCTCCAGAGCTGGGGACTAGTAGGAGGTCTGTTATAGTTTGGAGGTGAGGTGTCCCCCAGAAGCTCATGTGTGAGACAGTGCGAGAAGGTTTAGAGGAGAAATAATGGGGTTAAGAGAGTCTTAACCCAGTGGAGAATTAATCCCCTGATGGAGTTAACTGCCTGGTAACTGAGGGTGTGGCTGGAGGAGGAGGGTCCTTGGGGCCGTGGCTTGGGGTATATGTTCAATATCTGGTGAGAGGCGTCTCTCTCTACTTCCTGACCATAATGTGAGCCACCTCCTCTGCCACACTCTTCCTCCATGGTGCTCTGCCTCACCCAACCCCTGGGGAATGGAGATGGCCTCTGCAACTGCAAGCCCTCAAACAAACTCTTCCTCCTTTACAACTGTTCTGGCCTTTGAGGTGCAGCAGGGGAGAGCTGACTGAAACAGGTCTCTAGGTCAGCAGAGGTGTGCCTTTGAAGGACTCAGCCCCCCCCTTTCTCTCTCTTGCTCCCTGGCCCAGCGGGGAGTGGTTTCACTTCACCAGGCACCTCCTTCCCAGTGTGCTGCCCCACACCTCGCAGGCCCACGTCCGTGAGGCCAGCGGGTCATGGACTGGAATTTGGAAGACTGTGATCCCCAAACAGACCTTTTTATTAATTTAGGCATCAATAGTGATGGAAAGTTAACGCAGGATTTTGGAGATGATCATTTTTTTTGTCCTGTATTCTGATATGGTGAACGACAGTCATTCCTTTTTCTGTACCCTGACCTATTATCCATCTTCTACACTGCTTGTTTTGAACTGCTACTATTGTTCCTAGTTTTTGTTTCTATTTTCTTGACATTTTAGTCATCCTTTTCCTGGTTTTATAATATCTTTGTCTGTGGACTCATGATATATCTAGTCTCCTAAAACAATTGGCAAAGTGTTCTCTCCCCCTTAATTTTCTGGAAGCATTTATGTGAGATTGGTAACTAAAAAAAAAAATGTTTGACTCAATTCACCAGTGAAGTCTTCGGGGTCTGGAGTTTGGTTCCTGGGAAGGTTTTTTTTTTTTTAATTACAATGTCAATTTTTAAAATATACATGGGATGGTCCAAGTAGTTTATTTCTTGTTGTGTTATTTGTATATGGTGTCTTCAAGGAGTTTTTCATTTATTTAAGTTACCTAATTTATTAGCAAAGTTTTTCATAATATTTAATTATTACCTTTTCACGATATATTCAATTATCCTCAATATTTGCAGGCTGCATAGTGATGTCCCTTTTTTTCATTTTGTTATTCGCCTTTTTCCCTCAATGAGTATAAAGCTTCATAAGTTTGATATTTTTGAAGATTTAGGTTTTGATTTCATTGATCTTTCATAGTTCTCCTTTTTTTTCTATCACATTGGTTTGTCTCATAAGAACCTTCTATTTACTTTGAATTAATTTGCTTTCTTTTTCTAATTATTTTTCTTTTATAATATATTGAAATCTGTTGATACCTTTTTTTGGCTTGCTTTATTTAGCTGCACCTCACAAATTTGGGTATGCTGTGTTTTCATAATCATTCAATCTCAAAAAAGCTTAAGATTTCCCTGTTTATTTTTCTCTGGCCAATGACCATGACAGGAGCATTGTTTAACTTCCCCGTCTTCTGGGATTTCCCTGGTATCTTTCTGTTAGAAACGTTTTCCTCTGTACAATTGTGTTATGTTCCTGCATAATTTCAGTCCTTTCAAATTTGTTGAGACTGGTATTGTGACCCAGAGTATCGTTGATGTTGGCAAATGTTTCAGGAGTTTTTCAAAAGAATGTGCATTTTGATGTTATTGGCTGAAGCGTTCTGTGTCAGATAATTCAATTAAGACAAGTTGGTGGTCAACATTTCCAAATCTTCCCGAGAGACAGAGGTTAAAATCTTTCACTATAATTGAGGAGTGTCCTGTTTTTCCCCTTTATACCAAGCAATTTTTGGATTCATGTTTTTGGATGCTTTTTTATTGTATTCACAGACACTTAGTATAGTTTTATTTTCTTGGTCAATTGATGTTGTTGTCATAATGGAAATTTCCCCTTTCTCCCTAGGAATACTTGGGTCAAGGAGTCTCTTTGGTCTGCCATTGCTGTAGTCCTCCCGGCTTTCCTTCCTTAACATTTGCATCACAGACCATCTTCGTCCTTTTAATCTGTGCATTTATTTACATATTTATATGATATACATGAATATATATTTATATTATCAACAACCTGTGCATTTATTTAGATTTAGATTTGAAGTGCACTTATATGCATGTT